AAGGTTTCTGAAAAACTTGTCCTTTTTGTCTGCTGCTGCTGGACAGGATTGGTGAAGCAGTGTACAGCTTTCTCTGGGGCTACCAAGGCAGCAAGGATAAAAATAGGACAAACTTTAAGAATCCCAGATATTTTCAGATAACAAAGACTGATTTATGCAGGCCCGTTTGTGCTCTGACCGAACATAGAGACGCTTTTGTGCTGTGATTAGCAAGGGTGCTGATGTCAGTCCTCTTGTCAAGCTTGAAGCTTTATTCTGTGGCTAAATTGTGCTTTGTACCATAATCCAGAGAAGCTTTGTATCTGCCTTTTTAAAGTGTGTAGTTTATGTAATTGCTTTTGTTTTCCAGTTATATTGGTGCCAGATTCAATGAGAGTGACTCATTTTGTGACTGAGACAAACATTCACATTTTCACCATGTTAAAAATAAATAAATAAGAGGCAGGTGCTACTTGGCTGAATTCTGTGTTTTAATGCGGTAATTTCCTGCTGTAAGTGTTCATGCTTTGTGTAGTGTCTATCGGCCTCTGTAATCACTAGCCCACTGTGTCTCATGCTGTATACCTCAGTGCCCTGCTACTCATTTCTTAGCTATTTTACTTCCTGAGGACTTTTCAGATTTCAGCAATGTGATTTCAACCGAGAAGGAACGGAATGGGTGGGAGAAGCCACTGTCAACTAGACCACAAAGCATGACACAGCCAAAGGACATATTCCGTTGTTCTGTTTCTGTTATTTTCCCCAGATGTTCATGCAGGTGTTTTGGTACAGTTATCTCAGTTATGTTTGCCATGTGTGCATCTACTTTTTCTCAAGCGGAAGGTGTCGTAAAGGCACACTTCTCTTTTCACCATACCCCATACAGATCATTTAATAGTCTCACACATTTTACAGCTTGGTTCTTTTAGGGGAACTCTGTTGATCGATTGTACAGGTATGTCAGTGAGTTAGGCACTATGCTGTGTATTACGTATGGAGTAGCACACAAAGCAGATATAGTCATTATCTTCTTTGCAGTGTGGACTTTGCAGTGTGGTTAGGGGCTTAGATGCTGAACACATACTCCATGCACAAAGAGAAACTGATCTCATACAACTCACTGCATCGTCAAGTAGTAGGATCCCTAAGAGTCTGCCTTGCTTTCAAGGGATGGATGGGTTGAAGGTGGTTGAGAAAGGGGAGAGGCCTGAAGGGTGGGAAAGAACCAGGAGAAAGAACATTACGGACCTAGGAAATAGCATGTGCAAAAGTCTCCAAAGCAGGAAAGAATTTGGGCTTCCGTAACCATATTCTCAGAAGAGTGAAGCAACGATTAAAACTTGAAAGAGAAGACAGAAAACTGCACTTGAAAGATGAACACAGCCCTGTTGCAATGTGTGGTGTGGGGCAGGTGACCTTCTACACAGCCAAGAGCCTCTGAGATCTTCACTCAAATGCAGCAGAGAAATTACACGGCTTACTCTGAATCATCGGGGAGTGGGTGATTTATGTTCAATGAATTATGTAATAAGGCAGTTTGGAAAGATTTCTATGCAAGATGTTAAAGTTTGAAAAAGTTATTTCTGTATTTAAAGATGAAACCTTCACTACCTGGAGAAGTCACCAACCAAGAGGAAAGACTCCTCGATGCCCCCGATTACATAACATATCACTCTGGTTTCTTCCCCCTGTACTTCTCTGTTATTTTTTCCATACACACTGCTCGATAGGGAAGTACCCATGGAGACTTAATTTTACTCAGGGATGACTTTCATTTATTTTGAAGCAAATAAGTGTGTGTTAAATGAATGGATTTTTGTACTCTAGTGCCAAATTTACATGAGCCTAAGACTCTTTGTCACTCTTTTCAATAATACTTAAAACATCTATAGAACTCTACTCTGCCTTCTTCCAGACACCAATTCTTTACTTTTTTCTTTGAGCTGGTCACATGGAGAAGTTAATATAAAATACTGATGATTTTAAAGGATGACGTAATATTTTTAGGCCTTTCTGATTTTTCTAATAAATTTCGTGCTAAAGGATTGCATATGTTTTTCCACATATGACTAGCTGTCTACCTAGCAGTATTTAAGCAGGTGTTTGGCCAGAATTGCTATGTGCAAAAGTGTTTTGTTTTGGTTTTGGGTTTTTTTCTGGTACCAGGAATTGAACTCAGGACCTTGTGCTTGCCAGGCAACTGCAATAACACTGAGCTACATCCCTGGCCCTTGTGTGCTAAAGTATTTTCACATATGTTAAATATTTTCTTCACAAGTGACAAACTCCTTGTGGAAAGGAATCATGAATTCTTTATGTGTCTTTTTTCTAGTAAGTATTTTCAGAAAAACCATTTATCTAAATTTTCTCGAGTATATATATAATTTAAAGACTCTTAAGATACTAAGCCTAAAATTATGACCTTTATTAACTCAGTTATCTCTACAGTTGTTCATTGTATAAACTGAGAGGTCCGGTTTCTGGATCACTTAGGACCCTTCATGGTCACCAACCCTGTCTCCAGTATTGCCGTACCTTTTTAGTGCTTCCATCAGGGAACCACAACTCAAAAATCACTTCCTGTCAGAATTTATTGTAAAATCTGGTGATGATAGAAGCTAAGACTAAAGACCTAGTAGAGAAGTGTGTGTATTTTAGTTTTTAATCCTTTTATTTTCTCTTTCTCTCTCGTGTTTTTCAGGACAAAACGAAGCCAGCTACATTTTCAGTTGGCTCCACAAATTCCTTTGTATTACATTTGCCAACTTTTGTGAGAAACAAAAAACACAGAGAACCTATCATTGCTTTTGAAGTTTTTAGTAGATATGTTCTTATAAAATAGAGTGATACCTCCATAAACATATGTTAGCGAAAACACTGACATATTATTTGGGGGAGACTGGCACATGTGGGCATGCAGAACATTGGGAGCGTTCTTGGTTTGATTGGATTGTCTGCAAAGCATGAAACTTGCAAACTAAAATTTCTGAAAGCGTAGTGCTGCCATTATCTGAGGTTGCCACTGGTAAAGGGACACGTTGTTTCTGGTTATAATTTCCCAAAACTGGAGAATGGAAATGCCATGCCTGGTGCTTAGTCGTGATCTCCAGGTGGACCAACAGGGCAGTGAGAATCTGTGATTCCACTAGGGTTCCTACGTTGTCCTGTTTTTCGGTCCTCCTCCTGCCCAGAGTGTGTCTTTGGGTGAGCTGATGTCAAAAGTTAAGTCCAAATTATAGAATGTGTCTTAATAGGTGTCTTAGTCATATTTTTGTTGCTGAGACAAAATACCCAATGTCTACAACTTAAAGGAAGAGAGGTTTATTTTGGCTCACGGTTTTTAGTCCAGGATTGGCTGCTTGGGAGCAGAAACTGGACAGCGGAGGGGTGTGGTGGAGAAAAAGGTGCTCAACTCATGGCAGCCAGGAAGCAGAGAGAGAAGGGAGAAGATGGGGATGCAGTACACACTTCCAGGTCTTACCCTCCCTCAGGGACCCCCTTTCCAGACAAGCCCAACCTCCCACCAGCACAGTTAGCTACTGAACCTGTCAATGGTCGAATCCACTGATGACTGTAGCAGCCCGTGACCCAATCACCCCCCAGACACATCGGGATTTGGGGGGACATTTTAGACGCAAACTCTAACTGTAGGTGACTGAGACTTGCTCACATAGGCCTTTTAAATATTGAGCTGGCTGCTCTTAAGGATGAACCTCAAACAGAGTAAGGGTTAGTTTGGCTTCCAGGCCCAGATGTAGGGGTTAAAAACTCAGTCATTTCATTCTGCTCTAACTATTTGGTGAATGTGGATTTTGGAGAGGGTGATCATAAAAGATTTTACCTCTTCCTTAGGCATAGTATTAAACTCAAAACTTAAAAAGGCAAAACCTGTGGAGGGAGGAGATAGTATAGGTTTAGAAAGCCAATATATGTTTGTTGGGACGATGAGGAGGAAATTCTAAAAAGCCGTGTCTCGTATTACAGAGTACAGATCTTCTCCGTGCAGTCTTAAGTGATCCGCTGGCCAGAAGAGAGGCAGTCTATTGCTTGCTTTCTAGGCAAGACGCCAGGAAAATTTCTAAACCTGTTGTTTTCCTCATCACTCTTTGCCCTCCTCCAACACACACACTCACGTGCCCACACACACAGAATGAATGAATGAATGAATGAATGAACTCTGTTGTTTAAAGTCTGTAAGAGGCTTCTGAAGGAGGGTGACACGAGGGCGTGAGGAACCATTGCCCTTTTTTTTTTTAACTGTGGGTAAAATACAGTTTACCATTTTGGTTACCGTTTTAGCTGTGTAATGTAGTATTAGTAAGTACATTTATGTTGTCATACGACCATGACCTCTATCCACCTCTAGAATTCTTTGAATCTTCCCCAACTGAAACTGCCCTCACTAAACACTAACTCCCTACGCCCCCTTCTGTCAGCCCCTGGGAACCACTGTTCTGCTTTCTGCTTCTGTGAATTTGATCCCTGTAAATATCTCATACAAGGGAACTCATAAGTATTTGCCCTTTTGTGACTGGCTTGTAGCACGTAGCATAATGTCCACTCCTTTGCTTATTTATATCCATTTTTCCCAACATCATTTGTTGAAACCACTACTTTTTTGTTTGTTTTATTTTTTGGGGGGGCAGGGTCTATTGTGTAGTTCAGGCTGGCCCTGAACTCTCAGCAATCCTCCTGCCTCTGCCTCCTGAGTGCTGGGATTACAGGTGTGAGCCACCACACTGGCACCACTGTATTTTTATATTTAGTAGAAATCCAACTTTCGCTGATTTGTTGACTTAATATTGTATCAGAGGAGAGTTCCTAGAAGATTCTAAATATACATCATTAAGTTAATTTGAGCATCTTAACTTCGCTGTTAAGAGTGCCCAATTTTCTTATGGAAACAAAAAATACTGTGAATTTTTCTAGACAATGCACTTATAAAATTGGTTTAATAAATGTGCATCTTTTTCAAAGAAATTTCTCTTTAATATTAAATGGGTGCTTTGTTTGGTTCCTAGGCATGGAAGAGGAGATGGTTTGTGTTACGCAGTGGCCGTTTGACTGGAGATCCAGATGTCTTGGAATATTACAAAAATGATCACGCCAAGAAGCCTATTCGTATTATTGATCTAAATTTATGTCAGCAAGTCGATGCTGGATTGACATTTAACAAGAAAGAGTTTGAAAACAGCTATATTTTTGATATCAATACTATTGACCGGATTTTCTATTTGGTAGCAGAGAGCGAGGAGGAGATGAATAAGTGGGTCCGGTGTATTTGTGATATCTGTGGGTTTAACCCTACGGAAGAAGGTAAGCTCAAGAGTTTATTATTCTCCTTGAATTCTCCCTCTTTGCTACATGTTTTAAAATGTCACAAAATGTTTTGCTATTTCAGTCATGCCCTAGAATGTTTTGTTTTATAATAGGAACTTGGCATTTGGAAATACATTGATCATCAAACTCTTACAGGTTTAAGCGGGGAGGGGGGACAACATAGAGAGTCAGAGACGGGGTGGGGACAGAGAGACAGAGAGGGACAGAGAGACAGAGAGAGAAGACAGGCAGGCAGACTGACTTAACATTACAGAACAGAATCTAAGTGTCCTGAGCAAGAAGATGAGAAAAGAACATCTTTAAGAGCTTTTACTGAGTTTTGACAAATTAAATGGAACTGTTCACCACTGTTGACATTTGGCTGTTTTTGACCTATTTAAAAATGCCAATTTCTTTGTGTTTCAACTCAGTTCTTTAGGTGTTTTTTTAAGAACTTGGCTTTTGAAGTTATGAAATAGCCAAGGTTATCAATACCTACGAAAAGCAAATAGAAATTAATCCCAAAACACTGTGAAAAAAATGCCAAACGAATGAGTTCATTTAGTTCTAAAAAGAGCATGGAAGGAAGAGGGGGATGCTCAAGGGTTAGGTAAGAGGGAGTAGAGAAAAACCTCTCAGGAGACAAATTGTAAATTGTAGGCTTTTGAAAGCAATCACATTTCTGCATAAGTGAAAGCTCGATACAGTCCTCCAGGCTTGGGGACTTAGGGGGAAAAAAAACCAACAAAAACTCCAAGATACAATAGAATTTGACTTTACTGAAGTAGAAGGCTATGAATAAAAAAGGCAAGGGAACAGCTGCTCATAGAATTTGAATAAGGAACAGATTTGGGGTGCCCATCCCAGAAATAGCTTAGTGATTAGTGGTCTTTAGAATTCCGTAAGAGATCTTCTCCAGGTCATTTTCTATAGTCATTCAACCACTTATTTCCTGTCTACCTCTCTTTCTTTTTAAACATACATTCAGAATCCGTGTAGGGTACCAAGGATCAGAAATAAAAGTAAACTGGTCTTTGTCCTTACTGTCTGTCTTCATGGCTATTCAGCAGTCCCCCTTTTTGGGAGATAAGTTCCAAGATCCCCATTCGGATGCCTGAAACCCAGGATAGCACATTTTTGCCCATACGTACATATCTGATTTTATTTGTAAATGAGGCACAGGAAAAGATTAATAACAATAATGATGAAGGAGACCAGTTGTAACAATGTACTGTAATGACATCGCCACTGTCACTACCCTTGCTCTTTGGGGCCACGATTAAGTAAAATAAAGCTTACTTGAACACAAGCACCGCAATACCAGGATACCACCATAGTTAGGATGTGACAACTAGGACAGCTAAGTGACCAACAGATAGGTACATACAGATACACTGGACAAAGGGGCAATTCATATGTCCATCAGGCTGGTTCATAAAAGGCACACAACTTAAAATATCGAAGTTGTTTGTTTCTGGAATTTTCCTTTTAATATTTTCAGACCACGGACCAAGTTGACCTTGGGCAACAACTGATATTGTAGAAAGCAAATCTGCAGATAAAAATAAGGGGAGGGGGGCAAGCTAGGTATGGTGGTGTCTGTCTGTAATACCAGCACTTGGGAGGCTCAGGCAGGTGAATTACAGCGAGTTTAAGGCCAGCCTGGGGAACCTGGTGAGTTCAAGGACAGCCTGAACGTTGTGGTGACAGTTTGTCTCCCCCCACCCCCAAAAAAATCGAAAGCCAAAAAAGAATAAGGAGAGGCTACTACGCTTACGTTTAAAAATGTGCATCCCCAAATATTTACACTGAAAAGGGGTGGATGGGTGGGAAGATTTATTAACAGTCCACATCATGGTTTGGACTGAAGAGAAGTCGTAGTCATCTCTGACCACTCCGTGCTGCTTCCACTGTGGCCTGTGTGCATGCCTGGAGAAGGCCCTCCAAGGGCTGGGGTTTGCCTGGGTGGTGGACAGGCCCTGTTGAGGGAACTAGGAAGGTCGTGGGCCAGCACTGAGAGATCACTGCCGCGAGCGGTGATTCTGGTTAGACTAAGCTGGTCAGTGATTACAAGCCTGGGGAAATTGCTTCATCAGGCAATTAAGGCTTCGATTGTTTTCCTGAAGGTACTAAATATGTCCACAGAGTCAGTGAGCTTGGGGGGTATCATTTCTAACTCTGGTTAGACTTATTCTTGCCTGTTTGCATAGATGTTTGTGTTCTAGTGCAGGGAAGGATTTTAGATTTTTTTTTTTTAACCTTTGATTGAGTTTATTGGTACATTTTAGGGATACAGTACAGTTACATTCATTGTTGGGAATTTGTACCTCTACATGACACAATGAAAAGATGGAAATAAAGTGTTTGTAGATGGGAAGGGGAGGAGGGGGTGAAGGGAGGGCAGGGACAAGGGGAAAAAATGAGAACCAAGACCTGTCATGTAAGGGTTTTAAAGTTCAAGTCACATAGCTCACTTTTCAGTGGTTGTTATGGTAATTGTTGGGTTAGACACCTCCTTAGTTTCTTTGTGACGGGTTGTCTGTGTCAATAACTTGTTATAATGGTTTTGTTGCTGCTGTTGTTACTCTGCTTGCTGCCTTTTAAAATTTTGAAATTTTTGGGTGGGACACAAGATCAGGCTTCTGTACCCGTCCATTGGTTGACTGCAGGGCTAATTTGTAGGTGTTCTTTCTCCCTCCTCCTAAATTTAACAAAGGAAATGAGATGCTGTCTTAGAGGATGTGCATTCTTCAGTCAGGGAATGTATCTAATTTTTGGAAGCCCATTCATGAATGGGTACAGTTGAGAATCCCCCAGGATAAGAATTTATAACACTTGTGTCCAAGAGAGTAGCTTTGTGAGTTTTAACATCTGGAGTCCAATCAGCTTGACTGCCTTGGAATAAATGATTCTTATAATTCAAGAGGTAAATGAACACGAATCGCTCTCTGGGAAGAGGAAAATGGATCCAGCAGTTCACCACATCATTCCACGAGGCTGTGAGCACTAGTACACAGTGACTAGTAAGAGGGACAAATGGTAAACCTCACAGATGTGGACCTGTGCATCCAGCAGGAAAGGATTCATTATAAGAAATATCCAAAATAATGCATTACAATTGTTGATGAGTAAGTTTGTATATAAAATTCTGTGGATATAGATACAGTTTTCATCTTCATAGAATTTGTAAATTTGTTGATTTAGTAGGAGAAATAGTCAGATGATCTAGGAATAATAATACCTGTTGATAAGCAACCTGCTGCAGAAAAAATGGAAGAGCTGGTTTAATCTTAAATTGATCAAGGAAAAACCCTGACAATTTTAAAAGGCTGTGACAGCTGGTGATAATGTACTGAGAACTTTATTTTTGTAGTTAGCATAACATTTTCATTGATGTTAGAAGTCAGAATCAGTCGGTCGCAATATTTTTTCTTCCAGTATAGACAGTGGCAAACTTTTACGAACTGAAAAGCAATAGCGATTTTTCTAGTGGTAAAATGCCCAAGTCCTTATACAACAAATTAGAAGTATATTTCAGTTGAGTGAACTCTCACTTTGTGAACTTTTTATGTTCACAGTATCTATAGGGATAAGAAGTTTGTAAGAAAACCCGTAGTATGATTAATCAAATTTGGTATGTGTGGTTTGTGAGTTGGTTAACCAAGAACAGATGTGCTAATCACAAGTCATTTTTATCTGTTCATTGAGACAAACCCCAAAGACTTCAGTTTGCTAATATTCTATCCATTTAGCTCATGAGCTGTATCTAAACATAACTGCACTTAGATTTTAGATTTTATATAGATTTTTTTTTTACAGCTTGTTCCCAGCCATCTCCCCCAAGTAGCCCCAGTTAGAAATGTCTTAATTTACTACATTGAAATATATGTTGAGTTTCTCGGAATAAACCTATAAAAGACAAACAGTTCATTATGTAGTATCAGGCACCAAAACATATTTTATTGTACTCTGTAATTTTGGTTTTCAGGGCATAGTAACAAAACTCCAAAAAAAAAAGGCTTTAAGATCAACCACTATTCTTCCTTGGATGTTTGTAGTAGCTGACTTTGCTAAAAGTCTTAAAAAAAAAAAAAAAAAAAGAAAAGAAATTAGCCTAGCCTGGATGAGGTCTGGAGTTCAGTCCCCAGCACCATAGGAGCAGGAGGGGACGGTAACACATCTAAAGCTTCGTGTCAGATTCTAAAGAGCAGAGAACTGCTGTTTTCCCTCACAGTCATATTCTTACAGTTTAATATAACAACCATCAAAATGTATCAGTTGTTCCTTGAAATTTTCCACCTGCTTTATATTCTGTTGCTTGCAGGTATCTCTCACCACCAATCCCTAAACCCTGGTGGGTATTTTTGTTTTTACCTAGCTCAGTCCCCTGAGCCCTGTGTCCTTCCAATTTCAGAGGGCTGAATGTGTTCCCACTCTTGGCTTGAGAACTGACTAATACCACAGGATGATCTCTCGCTATGCTAGTTTCAGGCCAGATGTGGGAAGCAATAGACTATGCTTGGATATCACAGTCTATGAAAATAACCATCCCTAATCCCTACGAGAATAACTAATTTTCCCCTGAAAAACAAAAGGAAAGGGGAAAAATCTGACCTGTTTTGATTCCAGGAACCTCTCAAAATATCGTTACCATGTTATTTCCGCTGCCCCAGGTGACCAGTGCTATTATTGAATACTCTAAATGCTGGCAGGCTGTATCTGTTTTTAAATTCTAGCTTATTGAACTGAATATGGCTCCTGTGAATGCTTTTCTTCAGTGGATTTGAGGGCAGAAACCAGTTTCTTTTGTTTTTCTTGGAAATGTGCAGATTTATTTTTGTTCCTACAACACCAAGGTAGAAGCTGTTAAATCTGCTAAACAAGAGCTGGGAAAAACACAACTGAAGGGCTGTAGGGAGCTCCCAACTTCAGTAAAGGCCTCTAGGCTAATTTTAGGGTGCAGGATTAGAAAGCTGCCCCTGAATTGGTTTTTCTCA